GTTTTGATTTAATGTTTTTAAACTATGAAAGGACCTATCAAAATACCAATCTCTTGGAAAATTGGGACAAACTTGTGCTGTTGTCCGTCATTCCCTCATCATATTGGCGAAATTGCTAACGAGATAGCAGCTTTGGAGATAACTATAGGAACGAGTTGAACGGTTCTCTTGGCTTTGAAGACTGAAGAGAAAACATATTATTAAATTTAAAATAATGAATATGATATTACGTTTATATTTTTTCATGTATATATTATTTATTTATTTTTTAAGATAAAATATTGTAACTACCCATTAGTGGTACTACCAATTTGTTTCAGCGTTAGATCGATTATGTTGATCTAACACTTCAAATTTAACTTTCTAAAAACCTTCTTTCTTCTCCCGATATTTAATATTTTATATTTATTTTTTCCTTTATAAGGTTATAATTCTTCATAACTATATAAAGATAGAAATAAATATAATCGGTAGATCAACATAATTAATTTAAAGGTGAAATAAATTAGTAGTGACATTGATAATAATACTAATTGGTAGTACCAATATCCTATCTCTAATTTTTATATCATTGGATTATTTTTTATCCTTTATCTCTCCTTCAACTACTGTTGGTTGAGATTATTCTTTCACCATTTTTCTCTTCTTTCATAATTGGTTGAGATAAATATAGGGAACCATCTGAACGGTTCTCTTGGCTTTGAAGAGAGGAAATATGGTTAGTTTTAAAATAATAATTATCCATACAACAAAGTACAAACTCATCCAGTACTATAAAATCAAGTCTTACGTAGGTTTTCTTGTTTTTTCTAACTGAATACATCACACAAAAAAATATTTTAGTTTTTCTTTTCGTAATTGATAATAATAATTTTTTCATAGTTTTTTAAATAATTGTCAAAATTTAATTTAAAAAAGCACATGCCAAACAAATAAATAATGTTTGAATCCTATAATCAATTGGATGTTTTTAACTTTTAAGGAATGTGTTTTTTTCGATAATATATAATATTGATATCCACATGTAAGGCGGATATACAAGAGAAATTCTTACTTTTAAATATTTCATTATATTATTTTTTATGCATTCAAATCATTATTTAACATATATGGCAGTATATTTAATTATATCTCTATTATTATATATTTTGTTTTTACAATCTTATTCATCTCAAACAATAATTTGAATGTGTTACGTACGTGTAACTAAAATATAGTTCTTATATAAATATATACAATGACATTCACGTAGGTGAACTTTTGAACACTGGAATTAATTTACTATTTAATTCCCTATGTGTGGCATGTGGAAAGTGAAAAACATAACTAACATTAAAAATGTTAGAATTAATGTCTTTCTTTGAGTCTATGACTTAACATAAGCAATGATAATAGACTGATGTGTAGGTAAAACGACTTAATTAAATTCAAAAAAAAAGTTAATTAAACATTGATCTTGAGATCAGGCAGTTATGTGACGCGAGTTGATATAGCTAGCCAATGATCTTTTACTTTTTACAGTTAGTGAGAAAGAATTGTCATCACCAGACATTCAGAATAAGGAGAATATTAGTGGCACCTTTTTTTCTCACAGTAGTAATTAAAATGACAGAATTAGAACATATGTGTGTAAAAAACCATGTGAGAGTGAGATCAGTTATAATTATAATTAAGTAATAAAAACTGTTTATATATGAGTTGATACATGTGTATAGCATTATTTTGAAAAATAATTAATAAACAAAAGTTAATACTAGAGGATTATAGCTGTTTACAAATAGTACTTGGTTGGGCCAAAAAATGGAGTCCACCAGGTTTGGTTCTTTTGTCACTTTCTCTGGACATGTGGAAGTGAGAAGCAACATCATCTGGGCTAGCCCATAAGTTTAACCTTCCGATGAAGGAAAAAATACGCTAAATAAATATCCAGAAAAGCAAATCGTCTGTACAACAACGCGGATGTTATCAAAGAAAAAAAAAATAGTTTCATATGTATTTTTTTTTTTTTTACTACTTCAGCAATATTATATAATTAAGTTTTGAAATTTAATTTTATTCTCTTGTTTTATACTGTTTATATGTATAGTTCATTAATTTTAAAAAGTTTATAAAATTTTTGGCATTGATTTAATTGTTAATAAATTATATATTACGAAAAGGCATTACATGTAATCTCAACAGATTTACAATTTATTTAATTTTCAAATTATTTTTTAAAATATTTTGTTTTTTATAATATATGTTTTAGTCGGCGTTAGGTCCTCCGGTTTGCATATGTTTAAAATTTTAACCCAATCAAAATCGGATTGGTTCGAGTCAGGTCACTCGACAGGCATATGTTTACGATTTTAAATTATTTTTATTTTAAAAATAAAATAATTATACATTAAGTCGGATTTAATTTTAAATTTTATCTTATATATAGTCATGGAGTTAATTTTTCCTTTTTCTCTTGCTTATTTATTGTCATACCTTATTTATCTCTTTTAATTATTATTTTTATTATAAACTGAGATCATACAGGAGAATAATTAAGGGTGTGCACGACAACTATTCTATTCTCTAGCACTGTTTCTGAAAAGAAACAATTATTTTCTATTTCTGTGCCTTGAACAGTTTCTGAGAAAAAAAATGTGTTTGATAACAAGTTCTATTTTAATTCCGAGAATGAGAATTGTCTTTGATATCATAACAAGTAATATAATAAAAAAAATTCTATTAAATATAAAAAAAAAAAAACTAGATCATCACTTTCATTTTCATATAGTGTGGTTGTAGTAGTGGTGGCAGCGGCGGCAGTACGGTAGTGATGGTGGCAGTGATGTGGTGATGATAGTGGTGGTGGTTGTGACGGCAGTGGCTGCGACGATGACGGTGATAATGGTGGCGGCGACGGTGGTAGTGGTGGGAATGGTGGCGGTGGAGGTGACGACGGTGGCCGCGACAATGGTGGTAGGGATGGTGGTTGGTGGCAGCAACAATGATAGCGATGGCATGGGCGTGGTGGTGGCAGTGGCTGCAACGGTGGTGGTAGGTGACAATGGTGGTAGTGGCGGCGGCGGTGGTAGTGGCGGCAATGACGTGGTGCTGGTAGTTACGGGGGTGGTGTAATGGTGGTGGTGGTGACGGTAGTGGTTGGTGGCGGCGGCGGTGGTGACAGTAGAGGCTGCGATGGTAATGGTGGTTGGTGACAGTGGTGGTAGTGGTAGCGGTGGCGTCATGGTGGTGACAGTGGCATAGTGATGGCGGCGGTGGCGGTGACGACAGTGATTGCGATGGTGGTGGTGGTGGTGGTTGATGGCGGTAGTGGTGGTGACAGTGATAGTGGTGTTGGTGGCGGTGGTAGTTGTGGTGGTGGTGATGGTGGTAGTGGAGGTGGTGATGATGGCACTAAAGGTACAACGGCGGCGGCGGCGATGGTGGCAGCGGTCGTGTCAGGATGATGGAAGTGGTGGTGGTGGTGGTGGTGATGATGGTGGAACAGTGACCAATTTGTCACTGTTCATCATAAAATTTACCAGAATGCCACGCGCACAGTAAAAATTCCCAAACTGCCACGCAGGCTAATTCGCTACACAGTGTAGCGAATTAGGCCTGATGATGTGTCACGTCCTCAGTGGTCCACGTATTTCGCTACACAGTGTAGCGAAATACGTGGTCAAAAGGTGAGCCCGGTCATTCACCTTTTGGACAAGTGTCAAGACACCCGTATTTCACTACTCTGTGTAGCGAAATACGTGGCAACGGTCACCTGCTGCACTGCGCATGTCAGACACGTGGCAGCATTGTACTAATTCGCTGCCTTGGGTAGCGAATTAGGTGCAAATTTTTTCCTATATAAACCCTTCCGTCCCCACCCCCTCCCCCCACCATTTTCTCTCATCCTCTCCCTCACTCCCTCTCTCTCTCTAAGTGCATTCTCTCTCTACAAGGTTAGTAATTTGTTTTATTGCTTTTATAATATGTTTGTTTCATTAATTATGTTTTTTTTATAAACATGTTATATTATTTAGTGTTTAGGCTTGAAACTTTAGGTTAGTAAATATGTTATATTATTTAGTGTTTAGGCTTGATGACTTAGGTTAGTAAATATGTTGTACTATTTAGTGTTGATACTTGAAACTTTAGGTTAGTGAATGTGATATATTATCTAATGTTGATATTTCCAACCTTAGACTATAGTAAATGTGATAATTTTAAATCATGCATAAATGATTAGGTGTAATTTATTTAATTTATTATTTAAGCTTTAATACATGTGTAATGTTATTTAATTTTGGTTTTTGAAACCTTAGGCTGGTAAAATGTGTTAATGAATTCCATGCTATAATGCTTAGACTAATATAAATAAAAATAAATAAATTATGCTGTAATATTTTGTGAATATTATTTAATGTTGGTATTTGAAACGTTAGGTTAATAAATGTGTGAATTTATTTTACGCATGAATGAATGATTAGGTTTACATAATTAAAAATTTTGCACAAAATATATAAACGTTAATAATTTATAAATTTAGATTTTGGGTTTAGGGTTTTAAAACCTTAGGCTAGTAAAATGTGTTAATATTATTTAATGTTGGTATTTGAGCCATTAGGTTAATAAATGGCTTAATTTGGTAATACGCATAAATGACTTTGGTTAGGTCTACATAATTAATTTTTTTTATTAATTTATAAACGTTAATAATTTAGAATGTTGTTTAATTTTTAAAATTTTGAAACCTTAGGTTGGAAATTATGTGAATCTATTAAGTTATAAAATCGTAGGTTTAATTAATTTAATTTATTATTTATGTTTTAATACTTATTTCGTTGTTAGTTACTGTTGATCTTAGACACGATAGGTTATCAATTTATTTTAATTTAGTTAAAGCAGTAACTTAAATGGAGAAAAACGTTTGAATTGTGCTTTTATTAATTTTATTTATTTAGCCAAATATTCATGAATTTTTGGTTGATGATGATTAATTTAATTGTTTAGGATTAATTTATTTAGATATGGAGCATGATGAGGCACCTCGTCCTGGGTCTCCACGCAACGTGATTGACCCTGGGCCTTCAGACAAGACTCTCCTAACTTTACAGGAGAAACATATATCCACACATGTGTGGAACACCTGTGAGGATCCGAATGTCCCGGATCGTGTGATTAATGTGCGACATGCTGCGACACATGATCACCGTGCCATTCCTGAAGAGATTGAGCCATGGCTGAGGCAGGCTGGCTTCTACCATGTTGCGCGCCTGCGCAATCATGAGGTTAGTAGTTTTTTATTTTATCACTATCTCCTGACTTTGGCATATGGCATTGTGATAATAATATATTTATTGCTGATTGACCACATATTTTTTATGATTTCAGATAGACCATTCACTTGTTTCTGCGCTTGTCGAGCGATGGCGCCCAGAGACACGGACATTTCATATGAGGATGGGCGAGGTCACCATTACCCTGGAGGATGTGCATCATCTACTAGGATTGCCCACTGATGGTGACGTTGTGTCCGAGCGCCATGGACGACATCCATTTAATCAGTTAGTCAATGACTACTTAGGCGTAAATCCACAGGCTGGTAGGGATTTGTCTGGAGGTTTGCTGGGTCTCCACTTCCTACGGCAGAAGTTTCGGGATTATGCAGGCAACGCAAACACTGCCGCCTTTTTTTTGGTATGCTCTCATCCTCATTGGACAACCCGCGTTATGATTTTGACAAACCATAATCAACCTTTTCGTATCACTTTTCAGAACGACTGTTGTGCGATGATTTGCCATACAATATTGTTTAATTTCCATTTGTACATCTTGCTTAGTGTCAAACATTTGGTCCTTATATAGCTCGTCGCCGATCTGTCAGTTAGGTATTTGTGCTCCATTCATATCATCTAATTCTTGGTCTGGATATTCCCAATTAACATTCGTGAAATGGCTAACTCCAGACCAAAATGGTACATTATCATTTCCTGCATAATAAGATATCCAAAAACCCAATATATAATATTAATGTCGTTATATTTGATATTAGATATTTTATTATAAAGCATTAATCCTTACGTACCTGCAACAGAAGGATCTTGCATTGCGACAATGCCTGGCGATGGAATTGGTTGTTCAACTGCAGTAGACGGACAACAATCAAAGTCACCATCGACATCCGTATCCGATGACTCGCTATCTGGAACAAGACCTTCATCACGCTCTTCCTCGGAACTATCCGTACGCCAAGATGCATCGTACATGTCGTTGGCTGGAACCGTTTCATATAAAATTTCTTGGGTTGGTGGTGCAAGCGTTGGGGACGCGACCTCAACTTCCAGATTAACCTCGGGCACCATGTTTATGTCGATGATGTCAGTGCATGGATTGCTCGGTTGACTGCTGGATTGTCCACCGTAGTTGACTTCTGCATACAATTCAATAAATCTTGACTCGCCGTGTTCAGAAATGCTTGCATCTACTACTAACGTTACATCTTCATCGTCGACAATTTCCACACCAACCCATTGCACCGGGTTACCCGAGGCACATCTAGCGGTCAACCGAGCAAGAGTTTGACCACGTTCTAATCTTAACTTCTTGTATATTAACTTCTTCAGCTCGTGAAGATTGCTTCTTGGGCTCATGCGAAACATCTTTGCATCACCTTCAAACACTTGCCCATTTGGACCAAAGTATTTTCTTCCATTATAATAAACAGTTGCTATTAAATCATTCCTACCCTCACTCATCTTACAAAAATAGAAAAAAATCTAAGATTCAACAACAACACAAAAGTAGTAAACCTTAACATAAAAGGAAAAATATGGCACTGGTAGTTCATACCCGAAATGGAGTATTTATAGCTCATAATTCGCTAGGGGGGGTAGCAAATTAAGTATCATAATTCGCTGTACCCCCTAGCGAATTAGTGGGGAGATGACACATGGCAGATGTTACATATTTCGCTACCAGTCATTCCAAAAATAACCACATAATTCGCTACCTAGTGCAGGAATTATGTGGGGAAGTGACACGTGGCCTGACTTTGAGTTGACATGAACTGACCCTTCTGCTGCATAATTCGCTATACAGGGTAGCGAATTATGTGTCCAACAGGGGTGTGACACGTGTCCAAAAGGTGACTGACCGGGATGACCTTTTGACCACGTATTTCGCTACACTGTGTAGCGAAATACGTGGACCATTGAGGACGTGACACATCATCAGGCGTAATTCGCTACACTGTGTAGCGAATTAGCCTGCGTGGCAGTTTGGGAATTTTTACTGTGCGCGTGGCATTCTGGTAAATTTTATTATGAACAGTGGCAAATTGGTCACTGTTCCTGATGATGGTAGAGGTGGAGAGTGATTGAGAGAGATAAGTGTTTCTCATTTTGTGCCCAGGAACAAAAAAGCAGAAATTTTCTGATTCTTTTTTTGTTCCCCAGCACAAAAATTAAACTGGTTCATCCCGGGAATAAAAAAATAAATCGGTTTTAACAAACGAGTTTTCTATCCATTTCTGTTCCCGGGAACAGAAATTAAAAAAAAAATGATTCCGGAAAGGTAGCCATGCGCACCTTAAGACTAATTGCAGTAGGGGGAACATTTTCACTTTCCAGATATGAGAAAATAATTATTGAATTTGGCCAAATATGTTAACAGGCTCAATGGTTTCTGGTAAAAGTATTTCCAATATTTTTTTTTATTGAGTTATTACATAATTATAGTTTAAGCATCACATTCTTATGAATAATTAAATTTTAGAATATGGCCTTACAAACAAAAAAGCTGAGAAAGAATTAATGGCATTTGGTACAGGAGAAATTTTTATTTGTCCAAGAATCTCGATTTTTAAAAATATGATTTTTACATTCAGTTTACGATAATATCTGAAAATTTAAAATTTAAAAAAATTCAGTTTCCCAAGATTCCGAGAAAAATCCGTGTACCAAACAACCCTTAAAGAAATAACCAACTAAGTTGTTTCCCATATCTGGACCTTGCCAATTGTGTTCGGATGGTTTAGTTTTCATAAAAAAATTTATCCAAATAAGCAAATGATAGTAGCTCAGATAATGTGTTGGAGCTGAGTAAGTAAGTGTGAGAGCATGTGTTTGATCTTTTTCAGTACTATTTTTGAAAGAAGTTTAAAACTTTAATCTTAAACTCGCCTCGAATAGAATTACCTCCCGTAAAAAATATTTATAATTTATCCAAAAAATATATATTTTTCTTCAGTTATCGGAGAAAAATCCTTCTCCAGCCAAACCAAAAGCAAGTGTGGTCCGACCGTAAAAAAATAACCCAAAAAGTTTATGCATATCCCCAACACTAGCGAATTTGAAATTTCATTTGCCAATTCATTTTTTAAAATTAATTACCTTTTGTAAAATTTATTCTAAAAATCATATTTATTTTGTTAAACGAATGTTATTTCTTTATCTTCTTCTTCTTTTGAAAATGTATATATTTTGTGAAATTTTTTTTTAAAATAATATTTTATTATAAAAATTCACTCCTGATATAGCGTAGGCTTATTTTATACTACTTATGCCATTGTCATTTATAATTTTTGATAAGATATAAAAAAAAAGAATGTTTAAAAATAAAAAAAAATTAAATTAATAAGACTTTGTTAATTGTAAGCATTGTAGTCAAAATCGAGTTTCTACGTAGTAACGGAAGGAGGTAGTAGAAACGTAATTCGTAGAAACAGACGAAACGTAAAATTTTTACTACTTAAGGTCAAAATATAAAATTATATATATGCATGTAAAAAAAAAAATTCTCATAAGTCAGTACTCAAAATTTTAAAAATAACTTCATATTTAAAAGATATAAGTCACATAACTATATAAGATATAAGTCCTAAAACATTAAAAGAGAAAATTGAATTTAAAAAAATGAAATTTTTTAAATAAAAAATAAAAAATATTGAGTTTAAGTAAAAATGGTAAAAAACGTAAAAACTTTTTACGTTTCTACACGGCGTTTTTACCCATTTCTACTAAGGAACGTTTTTACTTACATTTTTACACTTCGTTTCTACCATTTTCACATTTTTAGACTAGTTTTTTACAACAACAACTATAAGAACAGTGTTATTTTAAAAAATAGTAATAATAATAATAAGAATTTAATGTTTCTCTTTCTCATGTTGTAGAAGATAAATTTATCTTTTACACAGACATAAAAGTATGTTGGACCTATATTTTTCTTTCTCTTTCTTCTCTTTACATGGACCACACACATTTTTATATGTGTGTAGGAGATAAATTTATCTTCTACAATATAAGAAACATTAAACCCTAATAATAATATACGTAATGTGATAAAGAAGAAAAACGATGGAGAGACAACATACACCTTTATCAGCAGCTTTCTTTTTCTCCTTTTCACATGACCCGTTTCATTTCCTCAACACATTTTTTTTCCTCTTAAACTCAAGCATCCTTTATCCTCATCATGACTTCCTCTCCTCTTTTCACATTTCCATGAAGCAACTTACCTCATTATCTTCTTCTCTTTTTCATCTCCTCTCACTGTGTTTAATAGTCTCACTGCCTTCAAGTTCAAAAACAAGTTGTGCTAAGGAAGAGAGAGGACCACTAGCTAAAGAAGGAGAGGAGACCAAGGATGAGAAGGTAGCCTCACCATCAAGTAAGAACCCTTGGAGAACCCTCCATCTTCTGCCCTGAAAACTCGATTATACTGACATGCAACAAGGTGAAGTAGTTTATTTGATGGTTGTTTATGCTATAGTGGGTTGTTCTTCATGCATGGGGTAAATTGCTTCAGGGAATTATGATAAAATTTTTTTGTTATTTGCTATAAAACCATTTTTCTGATGAACTAGGAACATGCATGGGTGGGTTAGAACTCCTATTAGGAAGAAAAGATCATGATTTTTTGAGATATGGGAAAATTGTGGATGACATATGGGTTCTGTCATCAAGTAATCGGATATTCCTCGATGAGTAATTGATTACATAATGAAGAAGTGAAGAAGTAATCGATTACTTCTATATGGGAATCGAGAACAAGTAATCGGATATCCTTGAGAGTAATCGATTACTTCCCTTGTGGAACTCAATTTACTCGCTTTAACAAGGCAATGTTGATTTTAAATAATTTTTGTTATTGTCTAAATGTTGTAACAACAGATTACCATAGATTATATAGTGTTATATAGAAAAAAATGATTGATACATTTAACTTAGTTGTGGTTGATGTATCTTATGATATAGTAGTGGTTTAGTTGACACCCGTGTAGGACTTCTCACCTATCTTGAGCTCAATTTACATACAGATTAAGTAATGCACAGAATGCACATACAATAGCTTATTTCTGAAGGCGTAATGCTATATAGTTTATGTTATTATTATTAGATGATGAGTAGATGTACTATTGAAATTAAAAACGTTGTGAAACATATATGTCACAGACTGACCTTGCAGGTGTGTATGTCAGAACTTTCAAATGCCACTTGGATATTTGGTCGGGTTTACATGGTCTAGAATAGGGAGTTGTCTCCATAGGTACTTATTAAGATTCGCACCTCAGCCATTTTATGAGACCCATTTCAGGTAAAAAAGAGAAAAATAGTGGACTCGGAAGTGCTTGATATATTTCCTAGATGATGTTTTGTTAAATGTCACTTGTAAAATATTGTAAACTATATGTACTCAGAGTGATTAGGAAAAAATGTAATTGAAATTTAAGTATCCGAAATAGCCTTGGGTCTATTTTAATGTAATGACTTTCAATCTCATGGTAATGAATTGTTAGAATCTCTTCATTTTTGTCCGTTAGAAAATTTAATGGTTTTTTAAGTTTGATGTAATGTAACGGCCATATGGTGGCTGCACTAAAGTTGTTTGATGAGTCTTAACGGTATTATAATGGGTCAGTTTTGGGTAGTATAATGAGTCATTAAGTTAGTGTTTATTTGGGTGTAATGTGTCTCTTAATTGTTATGTTTTTCAGTTTTAGTTTCTGGCTTATATTAAGTTTGGGTCAATTTATGAAATTTGTATTCCCTCTTCAAATATTGTGAGTTATATTTTTGCATCTTATTTTTTTCTTTTAACAGTGGTATCAAGAGCCGGTTTTTTGTGAGTTAAACACGCGACAGAGTAGAGTTGTAAAAAGCTTCATGGCTGCCGATTTGGGTTTTGTACAAGCAGCAATTCCGCGTTTCGATGGTCATTATGACCATTAGAGTATGCTAATGGAGAACTTCCTTCGATCCAAGGAATATTGGGATGTAGTTACCAATGGCGTTGTTGAACCAGCACTAGCAGAAGGAGCTCAGTTGACAGCAGCACAACGAGTAGCTCATGAAGAGGTAAAGTTGAAGGATTTGAAGGCGAAGAATTATCTCTTCCAGGCCATTGACCGTTCTATCTTGGAAACCATTCTTTCCAAAGAAACTTCCAAGGAAATTTGGGACTCTATGAAGAAGAAGTATCAAGGATCTACAAGAGCAAGGAGGCAGCAGCTTCAAGCGTTACGCTCAGAATTTGAAACACTTCGAATGAAGTCGGGAGAATCAATTGTAGACTATTTCTCTCGCGTGATGACTATTGTCAACAAGATGAGAATCCATGGTGACAGGACAGAAGAAATCATTGTGATTGAAAAAATACTTCAATCCTTAACATCAAAATTTAATTTTGTTTTTTGTGCTATAGAAGAATCTAAAAATATTGATGACCTTTCACTTGATGAATTGCAAAGCTCGTTGTTGGTGCATGAGCAGAAGTTCAAAGAGGAAGATGTAGATGATCAAGCATTGAAGGCATCGACAGAAAATCATACAGCTAGAGGAGGAGGCAGAAGCCGAGGAAGAGGAAGAGGTCAAGGAAGAGGAAATAGAGATCGTAGCAACCAACAACAATTCCAAGGTAATTATTCCCATCAAGATTCTCAAGGAAGAGGAAAAGGAGGAGGCCGAGGACAAGGAGGCCACTATTCGACTAGTTATAGACCAAAGTCTGCAGACAAGTCAAATGTTGAATGCTACAGATGTCATAGGTATTGCCATATTGCAATAGAATGTAGAACTTATATGAATAAGAAAAATGGAAAAAGTACTAACTTTGCAGAAAAAGAAGAAGGAGAAGAAGTATCTCTTTTGATGGTGTGCCATGTAAATAAAAAAACTCAGCAAAACTTATGGTATTTAGACACTAGCTGCAGTAACCACATGTGTGGTGATAAAAAGGCATTTTCAGAGCTAGACGAATCTTTCCGCAACACCGTCAAGTTTGGTGACAACTCCACAATATCTGCCATGGGAAAAGGAAAGGTCACTCTTCATACCATAGAAAACTCCACCCACACTATTTCTAACGTTCTATTTGTTCCAGATTTGAAAACCAACTTGCTTAGTGTGGGACAGCTGCAAGAGAAAGGGTATGAGATTTCTATAAAAGGTGGAGTATGTCGAATTCAAGATGCAAATCTGGGATTAATTGCTAAAGTCAACATGACGAGAAACCGAATGTTTCCGTTAATTCTTCGCAATATTGGCCATTCATGTTTTCCTGCAAGATTGAAAGATATAGCATGGCTATGGCATTTTTGATATGGGCATCTCAATTTTGGAGGATTGAAGACACTCCAACAAAAGAATATGGTGACCGGCCTTCCTCAAATTATTGTGTCATCAGAAGTTTGTGAAAATTGTGTTGTTAGCAAACAACACCGTAATCAATTTCCACATGGTAAATCATGGAGAGCAACGAAGACGTTGGAGCTAGTCCATTTAGATATTTGTGGGCCAATAAATCCATCTTCTAATGGAGGTAAAAGATATACAATTACCTTCATTGATGATTATAGCAGGAAAATTTGGGTTTATTTTTGCAGGAAAATTCTGAAGCTTTTGCAGCCTTCAAAAATTTTAAAGCACTTGTTGAAAAAGAAGGTGGCAATCCGATAAAAGTCTTTCAGACTGATCGTGGTGGAGAATACAACTCACTTGAATTTACAAATTTTTGTGAGATGCATGGGATCAAAAGGCAACTTACAGCAGCCTATACACCGCAACAAAATGGCGTTTGTGAAAGAAAAAAAAGAACAATTCTAAATATGGTGAGAAGTCTTTTGACAACAAGCGGAGTTCCAAAAAGTTTCTGGCCTGAAGCAGTCAACTGGAGCATTCATATTTTGAATAGAAGTCCTACATTTGTTGTTCAAAATATGACAACAGAAGAAGCATGGAGTGGTCGAAGACCAACTGTAGAGCATTTCAAAATTTTTGGATGCATTGCTTATGCCCATATTCCAGACCAAAAAAGGACGAAGCTAGATAACAAGGGAGAAAAATGCATTTTTCTTGGTGTTAGTGATCAGTCAAAAGCCTATAAATTATATAATCCTAACACTAAGAAAATCATTATCAATTGTGATGTCATCTTTTATGAAGAGGAGTTTTGGAAATGGAGCAATGAAACAGTTGGGCAAATTTCTACTAATTTTGATGAAGAAGATGAAATGCAGCAGCTTGAGGAGAATCAACAGCAGCAAATTTCATCTATTACACAAGTAGAGGAGCGGCCTTAACGTGTTAGAAGAAGACATTCTTGGATGGCTGATTATGAGGTAACTGGTATTGACCAGTCCGAGGACCCACTTATTCATTTTGTTTTGTTTTCAGATTGTGATCCTACCACTTTTGAAGTAGCTAATAAAGAAGAAAAATGGAGAAAGGCAATGGATGAAGAAATTGCAGCAATTGAAAGAAATAATACATGAGAGTTAACTAATCTTCCATGAGGGAAAAAGACAATTGGTGTCAAATGGGTGTACAAGACAAAATTGAAGGAGAAGGGTGAAGTTGACAAGTACAAGGCACGCTTGGTAGCTAAAGGCTATAAGCAAGAGTTTGGAGTGGATTATAAAGAAGTTTTTGCTCCAGTTGCCTGACATGATACAATTAGATTGGTGATTGCATTGGCAGCTCAGAATTCTTGGCCTATCTTCCAATTGGATGTGAAATCTGCATTTTTACATGGTGACCTTCAAGAACAGGTATTTATTGACTAACCTCCTGGTTATGTGAAACTTGACAGTGAAAGCAAAGTTTACAGATTAAAAAAGGCATTATACGGACTAAAACAAGCCCCACGTGCTTGGTATAGTCGTATTAAAGCTTATTTTATGAGGGAAGGTTTTATAAATGTCCATATGAGCATACTTTTTTTTAATAAAAAGAGTATGCTCATATGGACATTTTATAAAACCTGGTGGGGTGAGAGAGGCTCGAACTCTTGACCTCAGGATGTTTTGTTAAATGTCACTTGTGATATATTTCCTAGATAATGTTTTGTTAAATGTCACTTGTGAAATATTGTAAACTATATGTACTCAGAGTGATTAGGAAAAAATGTAATTGAAATTTAAGTATCCGAAATAGCCTTGTGTCTATTGTAATGTAATGACTTTCAATCTCATGGTAATGAATGACTATTTTTTGTCTAATTTCTACTTTATTTAAGTGTGGCATGTCAATTTTGAATTGAGGTGTTATATTAACTAATTTAATAAATAATATTAGATTAAATAAGTAACCATTACGATACAGATTATTAATACCTTCTTCACTTGTGATTAAATCTTTAAGTTGAATTTTGGTATATATATATATATATATATATATATATATATATATATATATATATATATTTTGGGTATACTTGGTACATATATTAAACTTTTAAGAAGTGTATATTTTTTAACAAATTTGAAGTTTTAGTTGCCTTTTTCCGGTACAGCCGCTTGGACGGTTACTACAAAAATGTCTATTGCTTGATATACAGACACAAACATAGCTGGTGTGTAGGGATTTTTTTATACAGAGGGAATACCGATCGGTACTCTATTTTTTTTTCATTGAAATTTTTTCATTCCATCTGAATCTATGGCTTTGTTTATATTTTTCTTCAAATCATGATATTTTTCTTCTTTTAAAAATGATATAGGTACTACATAGTTCCAAAAAAATTCTCCTGGTGTATAAATGAATACAATGAATGGCAGACAAAAACAAAACCAAAATCAATAAAAAAGTAAAGAAAGAAATAGCAAGTTAATAACATACACTACAACGAATCCATATAGCAGATTTCGAGATATAACGCAGACCAATCCAATGAAGCCGGATGTATCATACATAACAGACAAAACCAAAATCAACAAAAAAAAAATGGAAGAAAAAAAATAACAAGTTAATAACCAAGGCCAATACAACGGGGATAGTGACCATTTTGTCACGTTTTGGCAAAAAAATTACCAGAATATCACGCGAACAGTAAAATTTCTCAAACTGCCACACGGCATAATTCGCTACACAGTGTAGTGAATTATACATGCAAATAATTCGTTACACAGTGTAGCGAAATATGCCACGTCAGAACCAAAAAGTGCCGTGTGTCAAAATTGTTGAAATTCGCTACCTATGTGGCGAATTTCAACATTATGACACATGGCACTTTTTGGTTCTGTGCATTTTGACGTGGCATATTTCGCTACACTGTGTAGCGAATTACTTGCATACATAATTCGCTATACTGTGTAGCGAATTATGCCGTGTGGCAGTTTAGAAAATTTTACTGTTCGCGTGGCATTTTAATAATCTTTTTGCCAAAACGTGACATTTTGGTCACTGTCCCAATGCAATGAAGCCGGTTGTATAAGACGTGACAGACATAAACAAAGCTAAAAGAAAAAAGAAAAAAAGAAAAAGAAAGAAAAGAAATAGCAACGTACACTTTTACACTTGAGTATATCCATATGGCAGATTTCTAGAAGCGCGCTCAGTAGGTGAAAAAAAGGGGGAACTTTAATCACTCTCTTAATCAACGCTTCCATTTTATCAAACAAACAGAATAGTACTATATATCGTGTTTTGAGCCCATTGATAGAATCAAAATCCGCAAATAAAACATCATAATTCCTGAGTCCCATCTCCGATAAAAGTCAGGTGCTGTTCTATGCCTATTTGCGGTTGATAAAGTATGGATAGAGTTTGTTTCGTGCCGTAAACAGCTTTTATGTCTTGCTTCCAAGTGTAAAGTAATTTAATCGTACCGTGCGGCGTGGTCCCATTTCCAACTGAAATTTATACTTACACATATTTGCTTTTATTATTAATGTGCACCTGACATAATGACTTCAATTCAGACAAAGACTCTCCCATCCTTCATGTTCATATCAGTCTCCTGAATTAAAACTTCTAATTTTTGGTTTGTGTTTAAACTTTAAACAGCATTCGCAGTTAGCATTTAGCAATGACTCTGGAATTACCAACAATAGAAAGCATAGTATTAGAAACAGGAAAAAAAACAAAACAAAAAAAACTAGTATGGTAGATGATAAGGCGAGGGACAAACACCTAATGAACATTAAAGCAATGCAAGCCGCTCAAAGTTGAAAAGATGTGAGAATATTAATATGGTTGCTAAAAGTGTTCTTTTAGTTATATTTGTATTTTACCATTTTTATATTTTTATATATATATATATGTACATTTAACATTGATTTTTTTACTATTAAAAGTATCGAAAATATTTTATAAGGATACAACAAATAGACCCATAACTAACTAAAATTGTTATTCGCCACAAATCAAAACCAATATAATAATAAACAGATTAGGTGATAAAAAAATAATTCTAAAGATGAAGAAGAAATAATTTTAAAATTCAAATAATTATGTTGTACAGAGTATGAATAATAATCAATATTAGAATGATTGGGGTTGGTTGCTGCTCTCGCCGACTCTAGGAAAACACAACTCAAAGAGACTCAAGAGGGTCAAATGGGAAATCAAATTTCAAAAATTGAATACTCTCAAGCGTCGGGTTGCGCTTACGGCAACGACGTTTCAATAAATCATAGAAGCACAGACGCATTTGAATAAAAGTACCTATGCTTTAAATAATTTTGCCTTTCTTTGTGATCTCCCTCGAAGTCTCAACTCAGCTAGAAATTTCCCTAACTTCTTGTCTGCTCTAAGTTATGTGGGTCAACGTTTTGGAATAAATTTTTGATACAACAATTGCTCTTGGATACTTGGAACTATGCCTTGTCACCTTGCCATCTAAAAGGAGGAATAGAAATTAGGGGTTCACTTAACCACTTGCAGTCCTTGCTGATTAAAAAAATGGGTAAGGCCTTACTGATTCCTTTAATTATCTCTTATACATCCAACGATGTTTATATTAGATTTATTTATTTTTCACTCTTAATAAATAGTAAAATCAACCACAACCATCCAATAAATATAATCAATCAACAACTCTAATATCACATATTACTGTGCGAGAAACATACGTATGTACGTATGAATTGATTCAATCCATTTTAATCAAATTATCCTAAAAAGTAAAGAGAGGAAGAAAGGAAGAAAGAAATCATGTAGTAAAAAAAGCCGGGTGTTAATGTTTTTTAACAAGTGCTTTTAATACGTCATTAATGTATTTTTAATTTATGAATTAACGTATTTGAATATAATTTAACTTTTCTAACTATTTTTTAAAATAATACTATTTTCTCAACTATACCAAACATAAGAAGAGCAGAGTGACAGTGCAAGAACTCATTTGCAGATACTTGTGTTTGTGCTCAACTTCTATTCAAGATTTATCTGCAGGATTAATTACAATTTCTGTACAGCCTCGCCCTCATCGAAAAAGGCAAGATTCCTATCTTTCCAAAATTAGGCAGGGAACAAAGACGAAAGTGACAAACGAAAGGAGTAGGAAAATTGTTAGAACAAAACCTCTAAGCACCCAGCGTCTTATATTAATTAATTAATTAATTATCACACAGTAATAATTTGTGGCTGACATTCTTCACCTTCACCGTGACAGACGGCGACGTTAGCATTACACATACTATCCCCTTGCCAAGTCCAAACAATGTCTTTGAGCGCAGGCCTCACATCTTCCTCAAAAAACTTAGCATACTCCAAGGTGTCGCCGGCGGACTTTGAGAACTCGACGACGGCGACTTCCGGCGCCACCTCGAACACCTCCGCCGTGACGGACAGCCTCCCTTTCCTTCCCTCCGACGGACCTTGCAGCCTGATCTTGAAGTCCTTCACCTCCGCCACCCTGAAACTCAACCCCTTCGCCGCCGTCAAAATCTTCGACACGATCGCCGGAGCGGAACTCTTTGACGTGAAAATCGACCCAGTCTTCCTCTTGCTCTCGAACAACCCAGACAGATCGAACCCTGAAGACATCGAGGAGATGAACTCGAACGCGTTGAAAAACTTTGGCGACGAAACCTTCGTTCTAGAACCTTCCTCCGAAACGGGTTTCTCTTCTTCTAATTCTAACTGAGAAGGCGGAGCCGGTACCGTTAACCCTTTTCGGAACCACGGGGAACGCATAATCGCAGGAATCGAAATTCGTCTCTGTGGGTCCCCCACCAGAATCTTCGAAATCAATCTCCTTGATTCCGATGAAAACCAAGGTGGGAACATGAATTCGGCTCGCAGAACCTTGTTATACATAGTCATGAGGTTCTCATCTTGAAAAGGAAGAAACCCAGCGAGCAACACATAGAGAATCACCCCGCATGACCAGATATCAGCCTTTGAACCATCGTACCCTTTCTTCCGAAGCACCTCCGGTGCCACGTATGCAGGGGTCCCACACTGGGTGTGTAGGAGACCGTCGTAACGGAGCTGTTCCGGCAACGCGGAGAGTCCGAAGTCGGAGATTTTAAGGTCTTCGTTCTCGTCGAGGAGTAAATTCTCTGGCTTGAGGTCGCGGTGGGAGACGCCTCTGCTGTGGCAGTAATCGACGGCGCTGATTAATTGTTGGAAGTACTTGCGGGCGAGATCTTCTTTGAGCTTGCCTTTGGAGACCTTGGCGAAGAGCTCACCGCCACGGACGTACTCCATGACGACGAAGATCTTCGTTTTCGTGGCCATAACTTCTTTGAGTTCAACGATGTTTGGGTGTTTCACCAAACGCATCACTGATATCTCGCGCTTTATCTGCTCCATCATCCCTTCTTTCTTCACTTGCTCTTTGTTGATCACTTTTATTGCAACGCTTTCTCCCGTGCCTATTTTCTTCCCGTAATACACTTTGGCGAAAGTACCCTTCCCAAGTAGCCTACCCATTTCGTACTTGCCAAACACTGTGTTGCACTCTTCCATTGATTACAACTCTATAGGAATTAGGAAGGAAACTGGTCGAGTTTACTTTTCAGATGGTATATGAGTTACGGAAGGCCATTGATTTGGGTTTACAGAAGAAATTAATACTGAAAAATGAAATCGAATATATAAGAGTGAGTGAGTTTGGTTCTCGTTGTTCGGAAAGGTTTTAAAAAAAATGTTTGGTTTGAGAGAGGTAGTTATAGGAGAGTGATGGTTAAGGTTAAACATGGAAGACAAAAAAGAAGGGAAGGGTCAGGTCCTAACAACCGGAGCAACTGGTATTTTCATTTCCTTGAGCTTTGAAGCCCACAGTTTAAAATTATCATCAAATTATAATCAAACCCCTATCATATGGGGCCACGTTACAATTGGTGGTGGGGTCTATTAGGCGGAAATTTTTAAGGTACCACGGTGGTACTATTTACTCAGAAGGAAAGACTAATCACAAAAAAAGAGAAGATGAAAGTGGAATAAAAAAAAGAAAAATAAAAAATAAATACAAATAGCAAATTTTGAAAAGTTTGCTCCTATTAGGCATCATCTTTTTTTTTTTTTGGTCGACATTAAGCATCATCTTTGTTTGGCTTAAAACAGGGCGAAAAGCCCAAAATATTTAGAAGTATAAAATAAAAAATTCTCTTGTCAAATAACATTTAAAAACCTCTTTAGAATTTTTAAGTAATTAATAATTTTATTGAGCAAGAGATTATTTTATGAGCACATAAAGATTTTTCATAATTAAATGTGAGATATATCAATCCTCGTGAATCTCATAAACGTTTAGAGCAATTGTCGTGGATCATGTAAAAGAAGTCAAGGCTCAAATAAATCATGTTCAAAGGATTTTATTTTTTTACTTTTCTGTATAGTTTTTGCAATACTCTTTTGGGAAATTTATTGGCTATTTATCCGTTTCTGGTGTACTATAATAAATACAATGGTAGACTAATACACTGTTGGGCACATGATTTGGTGCTTCATGGCATAACATGTGGAGGCGAGCGGTGTGCGGGTGCCCATTCACGTTGGGAATAGAATTTAGTCATTTACGACTAACACCTAGTCGCATTTGTCCTTGAACTTCCTTCGGTTTTAATGTAGCCTCCAAGATGGATGCATTAAATATGTGTTTAAATTGGTTTTTTATATTTAAAAAATTAATAAATGCAAAAGTTAAATACATCCAAACATATGTCGTATTGAGCTTACTACAGATAATTTATCTGCGGTAATTGCAGAAAAAATGAACCCTATTTTTAAACTTTTGGTTTAATTACAATTTATGTATTAATTGAGAATTCGTAAATTTAATCTTAAGTTATGTAAATATAAAGTTAAATAGGTGGATCAATCTCTATTAGAAAAGTTAGGACTAAATTAATTCACAATTGTGTTGGATTAATTCATTTAGTTAGTTTTTAGTGCTTAATACATCATATTAGGGATCTCTTTACATATGTATAACATTTGTGAAGAAAGAATATATGATATTCATTAGGTGTGACGAACTAGTAAAAACAATATATGAAAGTTATGTAATTTTTAAATAAATTATTATAATTAAAATTAATGAGGATTTTCTGGGGTTCTTGATGGCTACACAACTATTTATTGACCAATAGTTCATCAATTTGGAGCAGCACCACCAATGTTCTCAGACTCGAGTTTTTACAAAGGGATGGTAGAAACATAAAACGTAGAAACGACACGAAACGTAAAGTTTCTACTACTTAAGGTCAAGATACAAAATTCTATACACACACACATATATATATATACATGTAAAAAAAATATCTCATAATGAACATGTGTGTTGAGCCACTTATCTATCTAAAAATGATTTTTTTTTTTTTTATAATCAAGTATCAAAATTATAAACAATGATAACTATCAAGTAACAAGTAATGGATAATCAATATGCTTTAACTGCTTCATACACTCTGCAGATGTTGGATCATCACTCAACAGGATGTAGTTCCACTTCTTTCAATACACAAAATGATCCAAAAACACAAAACGATTCTCATAACATAACTTATAATAGAATTTCAGCTTTATAAGACATAATTATAAAAGACATATATCCAAATAAAAAGATATCAAGATATTGTGCATATGATTTGAGGAAAACAAAAAATGGGTTCTTTTTAATTTCTTTTTTTGTAAATCTTTTTTTTAAAAAAAAAATCATTTTAAGTAAAAACAGTCAAAACGGTAAAAAAGTAAGTTTTTACCATTTTTACACGACGTTTTCACCAGTTTTTACCCATGACAGTTTTTACTTGCGTTTTAACACGCACCACTCTAGTAAAAACGTAAAAACGTAAGTTTTTACGTTTTTAGACTAGTTTTTGACAACAATGGCACCAAGTGATGATAATAGAAATTTTTTCGAGAAATAGACCACCAAGTGAACAACAGACTTTTATTTGTTTTCGGCATGATATGACGAGGAATACTAATCTCATGTTGTAGGAGACCTGTTATCTCAAATTATAGACACGATCTATTTTAAAATTTTAAATTAAAAAATACTAGCAGAACTTTCAATATATAAGTAGAAGGCTATGATATCTCATGTAACATAATAAAAACATACCCTAGATATATATAACTAGAATCTATCTAATGGTCTCAAAAGTTCCACGTGGAAGGCTAGATAGACTTGGCTTATAAGTGATTTCTCAAATAATGCGGAAACTCAAATGATTAAGGATTTGGATCCTCTAATGTGAAAAATCACATGACCATGTCATGTGGGAAATCATAACCATACAAAGGTAGATCAATGATAATAAAGGAGGAGAAAAATATATATTAAAATAGGTAGTTACAAAATCATAACCGTTGATTTACTTTTGTATAGTTGTGATCTTCACACATTACCATGTCATGTTTTTTTTTCACATTAGAGGATCCATTTCCAATAAGTAATCGCTATGAGGGACCACGACGAAGTTAAAAAATGAATATCAACCGGTCCGTAATTAATCATGGTTGTATTTAAATGATTGACGTTATTGATGTATTTGGTCAACAGCGGTGACGAGAATAATATTCTACGACCAACAATTCATTTATTTTCAAATCAACCTCATTTAAGGATCTCTCATTCCTTATCGATTTTGCTTGCCGGTCTCTCATCAAGTATAATGGGCTCATGTAAATCTTTGCAGTAAAGATGATCTTTCATCATCTGTCTCTAATAAGTGAAATTGTCCGCGGTCAACTTGAACATATCTCCATCTTGTCTTCTTCAGAACATGTTGAATCTAGGCTCTGATACCACTGCTGGGTCAAGTCGGACCCTCAAGTCAATTGTGAAAGCGAAACAGAAAAATGCAAGAGGAGAGAGATGGAGAAGAACACAGTCAATTTGTTTAACGTGGGAAAACCTTCTCCAGTGTGAGGAAAGTAAAAACACAAGGGACACTAGTCCAGAATCAAACTTTCAATATAAGAATAATGGGTTACAACAATCAAACTTTCCTAGTCTTTCATTAGAGGTACAATTAAACGTCACCTACTACAATAGTGGTAATATCAAACTTCTGGATAGAGGTCCCACTCAAACTTCTCTTTAGAGATATTCAAATTCTTTTTCATCATATCTCTAAATCTCACACGCTATAAACTCACATAGGAAAAGGAGATGATCACGTGAATTAACACATTTTTCGAAGTCTATTCATGGGACAGTTATAATTTTTTTGGCAAAGGTGGCGCATTGACTTTAAACACGTCATGCATGTAAACGGTTTCAGAGTGATATATATATATATATATATATATATATATGAGGTAGGATCCTTTGACACCAGTGTCAAATTTTAAATTTGACACCTCATTTGAGAGTCGTTAGATCAAAAAAGATCAACGACTCTGATTTGCAAGCATATGACACCATTGATCTTTTTTGATCTAACGGCTCTCAGATGAGGTGTCAAATTTAAAATTTGACACTGGTGTCAAATGATCCTACCTCTATATATATATATATGACAAAAGTATTTCTACAGCCACTTTAGATAAGCTTATCTACAACTACCGTTTATAACTATGTTCTCCCAGGAGAACATAGTTATAACATTAAAAGTTGCTTTTTTTCTCTTTCCTTAATTACTTTTCAGAACCTGTCTGCTGACGTGGAGAGAGAAAAAAAAGCAACTTTTACGTTATAACTATGTTCTCCCGGGAGAACATAGTTATAAACGGTAACTGTAAATAAGCTTATCTAAAGTGGCTGCAGAAATGTTAACCCCTAAATATATATATATATATATATATATATATATATATATATATTAAACTACGATGGTCAATCAGTCTTTTACATAACGTTGAATATTACAAAAAAAATTTAGTGATCATTTTATATATACATATGCATCCCATTTTCAACATATAAATTTATAAATAGTTATCAATTATTTAGGAAACTAATTAATATCCGCGAAAGCCAATAATATCGCGTTTACCTAACTTTGATTCTTCTTCCTCCATAATGCTACTTTTTTATTTGAGCGATAAGCTTTGACAACAAATCCTGTAGAAGTAGTGTCCATTTGGAAATATCCTGAAGTTATGGGGCACCGGCAAATGCTAAACAGTAAAATGTTAGTTCTATAGAGAAATTAAACAAAAGACTAGTAGGGGTTTGTCATCAAATGTCAACATATATCCCAGCCATGTTATTTGTTCAGGAATTCAAGTATGAATGATTGAGTAAAAAAAATCCCACATTGATTAAGAATGGACTAAGTGAGCACCATATAAGAAGGACCTATGAACCTAATGCCTGACATTAAGGTTTTGGATTTGATTGTGGTGTTCCGAGCCCACTTAATATTGCTGCTCACTTGGCCCATGGTTGACGGTCTCTTCCTGCCATGAGCTCCCCGTGCACGACCCAACATTGATATCAGAGCTAATGGTGGATTGGTCTGTGGTGATCCGAGTATGTCTTTATGTGGAAAATAGCCAAGCCTTGATGAGAATGTGGGCCTAAAGAATATGGGCATTGGATTGGATTCACACTTAGCCAAGCCTTGATGAGAATGTGGGCCTAAAGAATGTGGGCATTGGATTCACACTTGAGGGAGAAATGTTGAAGAATTCAAGTGTAAATGATGGTCTCGTCTCTCTCCGTCATGAGCTCTCGGTGCATGACCCAACATTATTCTCACTCGGTGATGTTTTTTCATGTCGGTATAGGTGAAGGTTCTGCGTTTATTTATTGTTTGTGTATGATTATAATTAATATTTTTAGAAACGAAAGTGATAATG